ACCAAATACCAATTGCTGACAATCTTCTGGCTTTGCAACTCCCCGTCCAACAGCAACTTGACATCAGGCTTATACTTGATATTTGGAGAAGAGTAGCAGGTAGATCAGACAACACTCCTCGAATGCTCTAACCCTTTCAAAGTGTGATCGCTTTTACTTCTGTTCTTCAAGATTTGAACTCAATATAGAAGAATTAAATCTTGTTTTTCATTCGGAATCTCTGAATCTTCAGTATTACTATACTTCCAATGAGATAGAGAATAACACTACTAAATCACTCATGAATATATGCGTATGCTCTAATAAATAAATTTAGAACAATCAGATTTGATTTTCTGAATTTTCTCTCTCTAAAAGGTTTTTTCAAAATATAGAATTGATTTTCTCTAAAGTCATGAATAAACCTAGAAGAATAACAAGGTTTATATAGAGTTTAGAATGTCCTAATGTTGTCAGGACTCTTGGTACCGGTTCTCAATCTTGGTACAGGTTCAAGAAGGTCAGAAACCTTTCCGACGCACTTTGGCTATCGGTTCCGAGCTGTGGTACTGATTCAAGGTTGGCAATGAACAAACCTGTTGTGGATCAAGGTTTGCTACCGGTTCAAAGATTCTCCTACCGGTTCCCGATGGACAGAAGTGAAATCTCTGTTTCCTTCAACCTTTTAAACTCCCTAAAGTGTTCTCACTCACTCACATACCTTTCTAAAGTATTGTTCTTATCATCCCAGAGTGTAATAAATCATGAACACTTGAACTTCTTCAAATCTGCATCCGATCTTCTTCAAAGTTGAAATTGTGAACCGAAAAATTACAATTCGATCGGACTTATTTTGACAACGAAATTAGCCAATTATAAAATATATTTCACAATTTCATCATTAACAATTCGATATCTCATGTTGCGCTTTCTGAGACAGCTGGTATGGACTAAAAGACCCTATTGATTTTCGTTTAACTAAATAGACTTTTATAAAATAAGAATAATGATAGTGAAACCGATGAATTAACCCCAAATAAGTATCGAATTTGACGTATTTTTGTTCACCTCATCTACTTAAATAGTTTTCAAAAATAATTATTTAACACGTGATAAGAATGACTAATCACGTCAAATTCAATACTAATTCGGTAATTCCTTTCGATTCTCCAATCATTACTCATAAAATAAATACCCATGTGGTTAAACAGTAAGCGGTTGGTGGGTCTCGGGTAGGGTGAAAGTGGCGGGTGCTTGGAGAGAGAGAATCTAAGTCAAACACAATTCAGTAATGTGCAATTCATCCAGATGGTCACCCCATCCCTCAAAACTGCCCCAAAGCTTTACAGGATTTCATCATTAACAATTAGATCTCTCATGTTTCTGAGACAGCCATGGAGAATGCCTTCGGTATATAAGAGTTCATGGGTAAAAGGAGACAAAGTCAAAATATGTCAGCTTTGGATGATTTTGTCATTCATAATTCGATCTCTCATAATTAGTCAAAATATGCTAGCTTAATTGTTTTGTTTTTTTAGCAAGTAGCAGCTTAATTGTTGCTCTAACTTGTGTTAGTTAACAAATCACACTACATATGCAGGGTGCTCTGTGTTTATTATAAATAACGGTAATCAATCAGCACAATATTTTATTCATAATATTGAAACACCCAATCTCTCCTTCCAACCATCTGAGCTTAATATTCAATGGTATGAGTTAATACCCATCGATACCATGTATTCTAGCGATGTTGTTTTTATCAGTGTTGGCTACATGCGTTAAGAAATTATATATATATATATATATATATATTTAATTTGTTATTACCTGTGTTAATCACGTGCTGGAATAGAAGGATTTTAAATGTCTCTTGAAAGTGGTGGGCGGGTGTTTGGAGAGAGAGGAGAGAATCTTAAGAGAGAATTAAGCATGTGGTGGTATGCATACAATTGTTTGTTTCAAAATGCATACTATAAACAAACAACTGTTGGCATGCACCAACATTGCCTTTAAAATTAATGAAAGACACTAATTCATTAGGTTATTCAGGCAACTAATCTCTCCATTACGAAAGTACATTCTTAAGTACTTTTCAAGTTTTCATAATTTTATGACTAATTAATTTTTAGTTGTTGTAGTCAGTTAAACTTTTTTTATTTATTTTTTTAAATGAACTAAAAGATACCATTCTTGGAATCATCTCCAATTCTTAAAGAAGGAAGAAATGAGAAACGTGTTATGGGGGACTATAGATTATTCAGTCAATGCCTTTGAAAGGATTTAAGAACCCTAAATGCATAACCAATTGAAACTCCTGCCAAAACCTCCCAACAAACCTTACAGATTCTTTACTGTGATATTAGGATGATGCCAAAAAAGAATTTGGTGTCAAGACTAAGTGATCATGCTTTATCCCCTTTGAAAGTAAAAGATTGAAGGCTTTAAATCTTCAGAGTAAGTGGATGTGTGAATTTCTTCCTAGAATATATATATATATATATATGCCATTGTTAAGGGAAAGAAGATCGGCCAAATTGACGAATTGATCACACAACCACGTGGCTCTAGACTGGCTAGCAACTTGTTAACCAGTCTCAGTGGTTCAAAAACAGAAGACTTCGGTACTTTAAAGTCCATCTTCATGGTTCAAATATGAGGGCTAAGGCTCGTCTCTGTTGACAACCATAAAAGTACCAAAACAGGTTAAAGATTAATGCTGTAACCTAACCAAACAAAAACATAGAGCTCTTACAATATAGATTTCTGTATAAGATCAAAGGATGAAGTTATGAACTTAGGTTCACTTCAATGTTTCGTTGGAATCCAAGCTTATTTTCAGCATGCTTTGAGCAAAAAATAGAGTAGATCCCACTAAGAGTTTTGGGTGGGTCCATAGTGGGAACATGTTACTATGTGTGGTTATATTTGTTTTCTGAAATCTATTTTTGAGTGAATTAGAAATTATCCAAAGTGAGAAGTTTAGAAGTAGGGGTGGCTACTGATCGGATTAGACATCAATTTTAATTCAATGTGCTCTCAACATATTAGAAAAATATGAATCGGTCACTGATTCGTTATCTCACTAATCGAATCTAATTGGATATGGGTTTTTTCCTTAATAGTCCAATATTATTTATTTTTTAACCATAACCCAATAGATAAAATTTCATTTTATGACCATTAATTCATATATTTAAATGACCATTAACTAATACATTTTTAAAGTCCATTAAATGATAATCAACTAATTAAATTAACTTATATATTCTTTGAATATATATATATATAAATTTTACCGATCGGATTGGATCGGATTTTTTACAACCCAATCCGTGATTCGATCCGTGAGCTACAGATTCAATTTTTTTAAATCCGTCACCGATCCATGGTGTAGCAATCCTATTCGATCCATCGGATTCGTAGATTCATAAATTATTTGCTCACCCCTAGTTAGAAGCTCATCACTAGACCTGTTAATGGATCGAATTTTGATTCGAATTCGATCAAATACTCCTTAACTTAACAAATCAAATATGGTTTGGGTTGATCTGATTTGTTAATAATTCGATTCGATTAAAATTATATATCATTATATTTATGTTCTATATCTTATCATATATCAACCATTAGATCATTAAATTTGTTTGGACTGACTAATCACAATTTTGTATGTATTTCTCCCCCAAAAAAAAAAAAAAAAAATTTATGGTGCTACCCGTTCTTTTTCTCTAATCACGAATACACACAAAAAAATAAATAAATAAAAAATGTTCCTCTCTTATTTTTCTTAACTCGTAACTGGAAAATGCCAAACATAGTACGAGTAATTTGGCTGAGATTTGGAGGAGAGAATTATTTGCCCTAATTGCTTGATTTATGCAAAAGTGCATAATTTAATCGAATTGGACGCATAATTTAATCGAATTGGACATTCGATAAAGTATGTTTTTGAATATGGATTAATTATATAAAGATTCTTTTAGAGGAGTTTAAAGGAACAGTAGTTGTGTATATCATCTAATATATAGGGAGGTGAAAATAAAAGATCACAAGTAAGTAATGTGATGGGTATGGACTTAGTCTATATTGGGCTTCATTCATAAAAAAACACAGGAAGGGGGAAAAATATATCACATCTAAGTAGTGTGGTGCGTATGGAGTCTATGGACTATCTATATCGTGGGCTCAAAATCATTTATTTTTTTATTAGAGATTGGGCTGGACCCAATTAGATTCAAAAACCCAATTCTAAGATGAGAATCCACAGAAATTTGAATTAAAGACGTAATATTCAATACTAGCCCCCATTTTCAAGTTCATTTTATTAATGTTGTATTTTATTTTAAAGTGTGTTTGGTAGATAAATTTAATATACATGTGATTATAATGTTTAATAGTATAGCGGGAATGAATAGTTTTAAATTAAAATTAATATGCCTTTTTTTCTTAAATTAGCAACATATATTACCTTAATTTTCTAACATGTATTTCATCCATTAATTGAGTAATATACATCTAATCTCTTCAAGTGTGCATTGGACAAAACATATTGCTAATTTATTTGATGAATCCAAAGGAATAGTTAGCTCATAGTCCGTAGTTGTTAGCTTTATAAGAATGCCTATGTGATGTTTGACAAAATGATAAGTATGACTGTATGATTATGAATTGTTTTTCAATTTGACGAGATTAAAAGTAATACTAAAAGTAAAAGAGTATATGGTTTATATTATGTATATGATATAAATAAAAGTATATAATACACTATATGGTTTATATTGCTATTGGACTTAAGACACTCAAATTTTTACTATATTGTGTTTAAACTAACTAAAGACCCAATGAATTTTTGGGGCCTTGTTTGGGCTTATGCACTAATCAGCCATATATTTATAGAACTTTTACAACTTTGGGCCCGTGCCCCTTTTCTATTTGTCCAAAATTGAGTCGAAGAGGAGAGAGAAATAAGGAGGACCACAAACCAACATGTAATTTTCTTTTTGTAACCTTTCCAAAAATTTGTTATTAAATTTTAATGTGTGATAATTTTATATAATAAGGGTATATTAATAAAAGATATACAAATTTTATTTCTCATTCTTTTAATTAAAAAAAAAAAAAAATCAAATCCAAATAAAAAAGTGAATGAGACATCTTTCCTTTTTTGTAAATTATATATATATCTTACATTGAATTACCTTACCGAATAATTTTTAATCGGTTATTTATATCAAATACAACGAGTGGAAGGCTTCACTTCCTTATTTGTTACATAATTGACAAATTAAAAAAAGTAGATCTAACAATTCACTTCAACTATTCGGTAAAAAAAATCATTTTCCATATATAAAAGATGGGGCAAGTTGAAGAATTGATCACAACCATGTGGTTCTAGACTGGCAACTTGTCAACCAGTCTCTGTGGTCCAAAAACAGGAGACTAAAATACTTTAAAGTCCATCTTCATGGTTCAGCATTGTTGACAACCATAAACGTACCAAAACAGGTCCCAAAAGACTGCTCCAAGCCGACGCTAATCACTCAAAAAGGAGCTCTTGTAACATAGTAGATGTCTGTATACAAGACCAAAAGGATGAAGTTATGAACTTAGGTTCACTTAATGTTTTTCATCCATTAATTAGGTTAATACATATCTATATTGCTCCAGCCCAAATTTTTTATCACACAAAAACTCACAACTTGATTGAAGAACTTGCAAATTCATTACATACAAAGTAACAAAATATGTCAATTCTAAAGTGAACAAATTCCTTTTAACTGTACGTTGAACGTAACATATTGCAAAATTTATTTGATGAATCCAAAGAAATATTTCTCATTTGGAGATAAGATAGCTCTGAATTCAGGTTGGCACCTAGCCGTTTGCTTTAGCTGACTCAAGGGTATCCTGACAACGTGCCACAAATCATTCTGCCCCGACGTTGCAGTCATGGACTGGAGTATGACTGCTTTCTTCAGTAGAAGATCCATTACCAATAACTCATCCTCCTGGTTTCTATATCCCGCCATTTTAACAACTTTAAGGTGCTGAAGTTGTAAAGAAGTCGATTTCGGAACTGAAGAATCCAGGTGGAAATAAGGCTCGTGCCAGTAATGGCAAAAATGTGGACAAGTAATAGGTTTTCGCGTTCCATCATTCTGCCAGTTTCGTCAAATATTGAAAGTGTTAGGATTTGAATGTTTAGGTAGTATGATAATTAATCAGTACATGAAGATAAAAATTGTGCACACTTACATTTATGGTTAGTGTTTCTAATAGAGGACAGATGTCCAAGAAGTAAGCTAAGGAAGCGCGCTTTTGTGCATCAATGGAAGAGTCTGTCCAACATAGTTCTTTTAACATGTTGAATCTGAACTCAAGCTTGCTGAAAATCACTCCTGCTGAGCATAGCCACTGCAATCACCAAACAGTTCGAGTTAGAAGATCGATGCACATGTAAAAATCAGACCACTTCAGGTTCATTGTGTGTGCCAACATTTACATGAAGCTAAGAACAAAATAAACTGCCCCCCTTCTCAAATTTGAGCAGTTCGTTACGTGCTTTACGAAAAAAAAAAAAAAAAAAAAATCAAGGAATTTGGATACTGGTTTAGTTCTCAAGAAGCGAAGAAAAGAAAATAATACCTCAAGAAGCCAACCACTGAGAGTGAGAACCTGAACATCCTTTAAAGCTGCTAGTAATGATAAAAGCTCCTCACAATCGAACTCATTGTGGCCTATACCATCTCTCATATCGAGCATGACATCAACAAGGTTCACGCCATTCTTCAGCTGAATCCGAGGAAGAACTCCTTGATACGAGAAGGATTTGAGATTAGAAGCAGAAAGAGTAATCTCAGCCAAGTCAGGACAGTCCACCACTGTCAAGCTTTTGAGAGAACCACCCGCGTTTATCTCTAGACATCGCAACCCAATGCATTTCTCAAGCTTCAAGCATTCAAGAAACTTGAAATCTGAGAACAAAGCAGGAACTATATCCTCAGCAAGACCAGTAACTGATCGCAGATGGAGAGTCTTGAGAGAGGCAAAGCCAGCTGCTAACTCTGGGAAATCGTTAGCTGGACTTTGACAAGTTACCTCCAATTTCAAATTGAAATCACTTGTGACTTGATTCTCTTCTGAGAAATTTAGATGAAGCTCTTTGTCTACTCCTTTAGCAGCTAAGATGATCAACTTCTCTTTCATTTCAAACCTTAAACAGAGCTTACAAAGCTCGAGATTGTTGTAAGACTTCAGAAATGTATCAATGACTCGCGTCACACCTTCATTAGCTCGGTGGCTACGTCTGCCATCTGAATCAATGTCCAAATTTACATTGTATGGTGTCCAAATTCCTCTCCAAAGAGGCGAAACAACGCTAGTTCTGACGGCCTCTTTCAGTGGGAGGAACGACATTATGAGATTGATAATGTCTTCCGGTACACTGCTGATTAGATCAAGGGTTTCGCTCTCCATTGTGTGGTACTACAATCCAACTCTGAAATGTTTGGTTCATTTATAAAGTACCATGCGCGTTTAATTTGCTGCTTTTTGAAATGTCGTGCGATTTAGTCCGACTATAAAATTGATAAGAAATTGACTTTTTTTGTATATGATGACTTTTAAACTTTATATTTAATTCCAATATCAGAGAATAAAATATGTGAATCCTGAAAAAGAAAGCAGATACTGTGAAGGATTGTTCCATTACCAACTCCAATTTTTTTTTGTGTCTAGGTTGAAGAAGCAAATGAATGCAATTGGTTGTTGGAATTTTATTTGATTATGGGGTTTGATGTGGAGAGGTATACATTACTTACTCCAACTATGCATAAAAAATTAATATTTTTTTATTTTTATTTATTATTATTATTTTTAAAAGGGTGCATATATAAAATTATATTGTGTAATTAATGTTCCCCTTTCACACCTTGAGATTTGTCTTTTCCTCCATGTCTACCAATTTCAAATTGATTAAATTTCCAGGAAGAAGGGCATTGATGTGCTAGGTAGCAATGCTCCAATAGTCCAATATATGTAAGATCAATACCATCATCTTATCTGATCTAGAACTTGACTCCTGCTGGGAGAAAGGAAAGTGCTGCTTAGTTTTTCAATACATGGTGTGGAAAAGTCTGTACCCAGTAAGAGACTTCACCATATATCTATATATACGCGCATTGGCACACACATATATACATATATGTATGTGTGTGTGTGTATATATATATATAATAGTTGATCCTTCTTTAAAGAGCTGATAAAGATGGATTATCATAAGATTAAGGGGAAAGTTCTGTTATGATGCACAATGTGATTGGGTGGTGGGACAAGAATTCAAACTTTTACATTACCCAATTTAGTGATTAGCTGGGCCTCACTGGCAAACAATTATTCAAGGCTTTTTGATGTTTCAACAATGGATTTATTTATATTTATTTTTTCATATCGTGACTTGTGAGGTGAAACATCTATACCCAAACCTAGAAATTTTGTTGGAAGTTTTTTCAAGTGTTTCAGTGGGAGAATTTTCAAAATTTATAGCTACATAGTCCAAAATAAAAATAAAAATAAATCAGTAGGGCAGCTACTCCCACTAGGCATCACATAGGTCCATGCCTGACCTTTGTGGTCTGGTCTATGTTAGTATTTCTATATGTAAATCTCGAAGAAAAATCGAACCGAATTTAACTTATATTTATATCTCTAGACACCAAAATTGGATTAAGGTGCCTAGAGATATATTCACTGACATTCAACTTTAGCACTAGGAATAAAAATAAAAAATTTAAATGTATATATATATATGCTCAACCTAATTAGTTACATTTTTATGTTATGGTCAATGAGTATGAATTAAAGAGAGGTCAACCTAGATTTCTTGTTGAATAAAATACATTACTTAGGTTAATAATGTAGTGAATTAAAATTTTAAATGAGGGTGGTTGTAGTCTTGTAAGATTGGTTTGCAGTTTTCATATGGTGGAATAGATTTAGTATTAAAAATGGAATAGATTTGGTGATAACTTTTTGCATACATTTTAAATAATTTTAGGTGGAGATAAAAAGCTTGGACAGATCATCCATAACATAGATAATTTCGACAAAAAATAAATTCAAATTCTCTCTCTTATGATTATTTTTATTATTATTTTAGAGAAATTATTACATAATTTGAGACCAAGTCAAAATAAAAAAAAAAAAAAATTAGACATGCTTATGTGATAGATTATGATTAACGAGATTATAGAATCCCAAAATATGTAACATATGGTGCATTCGCTTATTTGTGTGTCCGAACAATCATAAAATGTTAGTCAAATAAAGATTCAAATTGAATGAAATATGAATGTACTAATAAAATCGAACTTGATTTTTTCAAACACTTTGATTTTTTTGTTGTGTACGACATGAAGCTTCCGTAAAACTCGTTTTCACAAATCGAAAATTAGTCATGCATGGTGTACTATATTAGTCATGTTTAGTCCATCACTTCATTGTATTTAGATCAGAAAAAATAATAATAATAATAAAAATCAAATATCAACAGCAAAGCGTGTCATATATAATCAAAGCTTCTAGTATGAGAAAAGAAATCAAATCCCAATGAGTTTTGCTTAACATGGAAGCTTCAATCGGAAAAGAAAAAAATGTTAGTAATCTAGAAACCTCTTAATCTATCAACTTGACTTATTCTGGGAATTTCTACTCCATTAATGTAACTGACTTTCTGGGATGCTTCATTTCTTCTGCAATCTATTCCTACAATTAATGTACAAATTAACATTTTTATTTTTATTTTTTCTTCGATATACATAAAAGTCAGTTACCTGTATTTTTGTAGTAAGATTTGTCAATATGTGAAATCAAGGATAAGAAGCTAATAAAACTCCTGAGTCATGACCATAGTCCATATGCAAGGAACTGAAGTTTGACGCAAAAAAACCATTATTATTTTTTATTCGCTTAATTGCTCATTATATAATAATTGCTCATCCGGGTGAAATTATCCTTTCTATAATGATTTCAAGCCTCTTAAAGCATCTAATTTATTATGGGACATGCAAAAAAATGAAATAATATATTATTAAATAATTAATTATAACTTGATGTAAAGACAATTATGGCGACGGTCTTGATCTCTTGCTCCCCATGGAATAAGAAAATTAATCCACATTTTTTATATAGACCGTTAGATTTAATCTAACGTTCATTTTTCAAACCCACCTATAGCCTTTTCCTTTTAACACAAAACCACTTTCACCCTATTTTTTGTTTTTTTTTTTGGTTACCTTGTTATTTCTGAATTCTACACCATCCAATAATCAAACTTACAAATTCACAGATTCAATAATGAATTTCACCAAATGCCCAACTTCAAATTGAAATAGAAAGAACTTTTGTTCAAACTTTAAATGAAATTTTCTTCAATTTCAATTCCAATTAATCAATTCGATATTCCAAAATGCAACATTACAGTATATTTGTTGATAAATTTATTTATACTAGAGAAGTATATTAATTTACTTATACTGAGAACAACAAGATATTTATTAAGAAAATGTTATAATATCATACTATTGTTTCAAAATTGAAAGATACGGGTATTGTTTTTCTTTCAAAGAAATATCTAAATAAAATATAAAAAAATTATTAATAAAATATACAGGTATTATTTTTTTTTCAAAAGTTTTTATTTTTATTTTGATAGTTACCTTTTACTGTTACAGTAAGTAGTAATAGTAAAATTAAATATAAAAATTAAAAATATGGTGAGAGTAATTTTGTGTTAAAAGAAAAGGTTGTAGTGGGTTTGAAAAATAATAATTAGATTTAATCTAACGGTTTATATAGAAATGTGAATTAATTTTTTTGTTTTATGGGAGCAAGAGATCGGGACTATATATATATATATATGTAATAATGTGTGTGTATATATATATAATTATAAATTTGTAAAATATTTAGGGATAGTTTAGTCTTTTAATATATTTCTTTATATAAAATTTTTTTTGACAAAGTCAAAGGACATTTAAATTAATTTATATAGTGTCAGATGTCTAAAGATAATAGTTGAAGTGTAAGTGAAAAAAGGAACAAGTATAGTTATTTTGAAAAGTTGTTTTAAGGTAACATTTGGTCAAATTTAAGAAGTATTATTAAAATTAACTCAAAAAGTTAAATAATATATTATTAAATAACATTCCAGATTGCTTTAGACAAATGATTTAAAATCGGTCGGAAAAAAAAAAAAAAAAAAAAAAAAAAAAAAAAGACCCCACATTTCAATTCTCCTGAAAAGCAAATGAAAATAGTTGCTTGCTACACAGTACAAACAGTGCCCAATACGTCTATGAAAAGTATAACAAGACAACTAGCCAGTTGGAACTGTTGCATCAGAGGTTCCGATCCTCTGTGTTCTACACCACACAAATTACTTTAGTTCAATGAATGTTAGGGCCCCGCCAATTTTAAACACATTCTAATTTAATGATTGTAACTGTAATGTTACGGAATATGTGGTGTAAGGTTTGAACAAGGATCTTCAAATACAAAAAGTAATTTATCTATTCAAACAACACTTTTTAATATTGTCAAATGATAGCTCAATTGTCGAAAGGAATTTTGATGAAAAAATTTCTCCCACAAATTTTTCTCCAAACACGTGAGTTATTCTACAACAAGCTAAATGTATGATTGAGGATAGTTTAATTGTAAGATTCATCCTCGTTCCAACTCAACCACGCTATTGACTACATAAATCAGGTTAAAGTCTATCACTAGAAAAGAATTTTTTGTTACATTTCGTAGATTTCTCTCCAAAACTCATTGCCCTTAAGTGATGCCATGTGAATCATTACAAAATGTGAAACATATGATTAATGCAATAATTGAAGTTTCTGTATGGATCTCTAAAAACAAGTGACATGAATTATTAACTTAATAATGACAATTAATTTTGAAATTGTCATTCTAACACAACTTACCCTATTGACAGTGGTATCAATATTCTTATTGATGTGCTTAAAATAATTATATTCTGACTAAATTTTAAAATTTGAGACAGAGTTGTAAAATTTTTATTCTTTTGATGCAATAGATAGACCAAGTAAGAATCTCATTTATTACACAATTTGAAAATTATGTATCTTCTTCATTTTTATTTTGTTTTTTTATGTGGGTGTTAATTCTAGTTACATCGTAAATAAGGAATTATAGAACTTTTTGTTTTTACTACAAAATAATACATTGTTAATAAATTGTTCAAAAATATTGGGGTGTGAGGTAAGATTTAATTGGTTACGGGGAAAGCCTTGTTTTGGAAGTGAGCTTAGCAAGTGGAAGGCAAGGAAGAGTAGCTAAAGACGCAACTGTAGTTAGTCAGCACGCGGTGGGCTTTCGGGTTGGGCCTGATTCATCTGTTGGGGCCCATAGTCGTTGCTTCGGAGCTACAGGAAGTGGACCCTACATTTCACGTGGAAGATGAAACAACGGCTGCTAATACCGTAATAGAATCTCCTCTAATCCCCTCCCCACCAATTATATGCCTCCTCCCACGTGGGACTTCTGGTCCCACCACCACTATGATTTCACCTCATCCCTACCCTGCCCTTTATTTGGTATCTTTTATTATAATATATATATTATATATTTGTATGTATACACACACATACAGTTATATTTACACACTATTCATATCAACCTAGTCGCATACACACAACATATAGTTAATTTGTTTCTCTTGACAGTACTATTCCTCTTCTCTACCTACCCTTACCCTTTTATTTTCCCCAACCTTCTTTCTTTCTTTCCTTTTGTGAAAGAAAATCCAGTCTCTTCTACCTCTTCATTAATTAACTAGCTAGATCTTTTTGTCGCTCTCGGAGAAAAGCTCCGATATATTTTTTATATCTGGAGTGCGTGTGTGTATATATATATATATATATATATATATATATATATATATATTATATACAATAAAATAACATCATGGGTGACTCTTCAGCTTCATATATCCGATTGGTAACAATTAATTTCTTTATATATATATGTGTGTATATATGATATTTGATCATGTGTTTTATGTATTTCACTTCATAATTGAGGTTGATCTGATGGTGTACTGTAATGGTTATATGATGCAGGTGCAGCACCTGATAGAAGAGTGCATCATATTCAACATGAGCAAAGAAGAATGCATGGAAGCCCTCTCCAAACATGCTAACATCAAACCAGTCATTACTTCCACAGGTCAGTCTCCATTTGAGTAGATAATTAAGTTAATACATACATTAATTCTCTCATCTCCAAGCTTACCCATCCATATATATACACAAATAATTCATATATATATATGTATTTACTCAATGAATCTTAATTAACTACTTGGGATTGATTTGACCATATATGGGAATTGAATTTTTAATTTACTTTTTTCTTTTTTCTTTTTTCTGGAAGGACTCAACAAACTCCTCTCTCTTTTCTTTTTTCCCAACCTATCACTGTCAACACTAAACACAAATGGGTATGAATATGATATATGTGTTTGACACGTTTATCAATTATAAAATTGGACGTCCCCGTCCTTTACAAATGACGATCGATTTTAAGTAGGAAAAAAAAAAAAAAAAAGTTAGTGGCAAAGAAGAATTTCTTAAATATGAAATAAATCCCTTTTTTTTTTTTTGAAAATTTGTTCACCGCACACATCTAATGAAGACTAATTTAAATCTTAATTGAGCTACATTTATTATTACAAGTCACCTCTCATGTTATTTTTAGTATTTAACGATCATTTTCATTAATAACAAGACGTACTCACTTACTCCACCTAACTTTTGGACAAAATGTCCTTATTCAAAGAAAAAACAAATAAATAAATAAATAGTAAACCTCTTGGACACGTGATACATACAGATACCATATTACCCATCCCTTTTGTATAATAATACACATGAGTATCAGTCCATGCATATAAGTTACATCCCTTACGGACAAATTAATTAAATTCTTATTCATTTTACTTTTAAAATTTTTAATTTTTATGATGAATAAGTGTATTTAACATAGTAATCACTCTGTGTCCCGATGGAGGACGTATTACTCAAGTCAATGATTTTGATGATGGAATCCTTGTACAGTTAACACATGAAAAAACATGACATTCCTGGCTATTTTATAAATACACAATACATATGACATGGACATTTGTGTGTGTGTGTGTGTATATGTGTGTGTGTGTGTGTGTGTGTGTTTTATTACTAAAGTCGGTTATGTGATTTTGGGGTGATATGTAGTATGGAAGGAGCTAGAGAAAGAGAACAAGAATGATGGAATCCTTGCAAAGTTAACACATGGAAAAACATGACATGCCTGGCTATTTTATAAATACGCATATACATATGACATGGACATTTATGTGTGTGTATACATGTGTGTGTGTTTTATTACTAAAGTCGGTTATGTGATTTTGGGGTGATATGTAGTATGGAAGGAGCTAGAGAAAGAGAACAAGGAGTTCTTTGAGGCCTACACAGAGGGCAGAGAAGAAAGAGCATCTCAAATAGAGACAAAGGAAAGAATCCACAAAATATTATTGGATTCCAATTCCAGAAAATCAGATACCAAAGACAACCACGACTAATTCTTTTCAATTCAGACAACGATGTTGGGAGGGCTTGGCTTTGCTTTCAACTTGTTTTGGTTCAATCTGTAATATCATTCGAAGTCCAAGGGTAATAAAGGGAAAAGACAGCGACACGTCGTCATATCTGTTGGGGTGTTCCATCCTTACAAGCGTGACGGGTTTGGGATGTTGTGGTGGGCAAATGATACATCATCTATCATGCGCTCGCGACAATGCCGACAAATAGCACGCACGTGGCAAACCCCGCTTTTCTTTAATATTAATTTATGTGTCCTTTTTATGTTGATAATTTACGTACTTTTTACACAGTTTATTTATGTGTTCTTTTAGATTGTAATTACTATTTAGTGTGAAATATATAAGAAATTTATGAAATATAAGAAATTGTAATTTCGAGCACTTTCTCTAATTAATGCGGTTCGCAAGAATAAAAGTAAGTATCTACAATTTGACAATTTCCCTGTGGTGCAGTAAATTAAATAAACAAATTAATTATTTACACTAGGATTACACTTCAATTTAGAATTTTAGATTAGTAAATTAAATTTATGTTTTACCATACATAAATTAATAAACAAAAACAAAATCTCCATAGGCTCTCAAAAGCCCAATTTCGCGATCCCAATGTCTAATATTTGCGAATCACATAATCCAACCCACTCACAGAAAGTGGACCCGAAAATGCAACCTGCGAAAGCCATTGCTGTTGCTAGAAACTATCACAGGCCTGGCTGCAGGCCCCCATATGTTTTTTTGTTATTTTTTTCCAACGGTATATTAATATTTGAATTGAGCAATGGTTTAAGGACCTATCTGGCCCAGACCGTTGCCCAAAAACTAATTTTTTTTTTTTGGCACTTTATTGAATTTAAAGGACTATTAGGCACACCAACACTGCCTAAACGGCTTTATTGAGCAAAATAAAATTCGTTTTCAATTCTTTTCCCTTCAAAAAATGATTTTGTTTTTGTTTTTTTTTTCCTTTCCTTTCACCTCTATAAATTCATCAATCCCTATCACCATTCACCTTACATCAAACTTGAGCAAAAGTATAAAAAATAAATAAATAAATTTAAATATTAAAATATTATTATTATTGGAAAGCGAAAGCACACCATTGTGGCACCTATCTTCGTTAACCAAAATTTGAAGAATCTAAAATGCTGACGTGACTCTTCAAAATATTTACATAACTTTACAAAAACAATGACGGGCCAAATGTGGAGGGTTGCTATAATATGCTTGGAACAATGAGACCGTGTCATCTATCCTAAACAATTCTGTTATTAATTTATCTCTTAGGTTCCTTTTGGATTAAAAATTTTGAGGTGTATATTTTAAATTTACTAGCATATAATTGGAAAGAGGATCTCTTGAAAAATTTAGATTTAGTAAATTATATTTCTGTTTTAGCAATATGGTAAAATAATTTGAGATTATTACAGGTATAAATTCCAAATAGCAAGCTAATAAGAGCTAGTACTTAAATTCTATGCTGGTGTGTGTGTGTGTGTGTGTGTGTGTGTATTCATTCGTGTGTGTGTGTGTGTATTCATTCGTGTGTGTGTGTGTGTGTGTGTGTGTATTCATTCAACCTTTTGACTCTACAGTAGTCCTAGCAGACAACACGCTGCATGCATTGCCACAAAAACAAACACCTTGGATAAACATGATATAAAAGTGATTAATTTTATTTTAAGTGTAATTTACTCCTAATAAAAGGAGTATCTACATCATACGTACGTGTTCAGAAGGGTGCAAATGGTGAAGAGGTCCTTGAGTAGCCTCATTTACTATGGTGATGAGTTACTACGTTTCGATGGTTGGTGATAAGCTAGTTACGACGCTTGGATGGTGCTGATGGAGGAATAGGCATACCCTTTGTCAGCATTTCGTAGATCAGTAGTGGAGTAGGCGCCCGAGATGGAGGTCGCCGGAAAGATGACATAAATGGCCCAGATAGTGATGACAGAGGTATCGGCCGGTGGTTGTTGGGCAGCTTTTGGTATACTGTTGGAGTACTCAGAGTTGGGTTGATCATCATGGTGGATGAAACTAGTAATTTTCTGGCATTTAGTAAGCTGATGGTTGAGCTCCAAATTAAAGTGCTGATCAGAATCATCACTAACAAATCATGTTTAGCTTTCACCATTTGTTTTTTTTACTCGATCTCAAGCAATGTAAGAGTGATATGTTTGTTGTGCTTTAAATAATTAACAAGATGAAAGACATTAATTAATTTAGTGATGCATGTAGTTGGCACCAAACACCAAACAATGCCCTAAATGGCTTTCTTATTAAGGATACAATAATTTTGAATTTAATGAATTGTCATGCCAAAGATGCACCTATGTTTATTATGCACAGCTCATAATTTCTGCAAGATGAACTGTTAAATCTCTTACTGACAACGATGGTATCATGATGAAAACGCATGCATATCAACATCAAACACATGTAACAACAATTTGATTTGGATCATCTTATGTACACTTCTCTTTTTTTGTTTTTTTTCCAGCTATTATTTACAGTTAAGAAAATGCATATCAAAATATTTAAATGTATTATTTTAAATATTTTTTTTCTAAAAAAAAAAATTGAAAATATATATATATATAAAGAGATAAGAAGGAAAGAAAATGTACATAAATAATAATTAATAAATAAATAACAAAAGGTAGGCAAGAATTAACATCGTCATATCCCTCCCCCCAAATTCTTCACCCCACTTCAGGCCGTTCTGATTTAATAAATTAACCTTTTTCTTCAGGTCGTTTATTGAACCCTCTCTCCTTCGTTAACACCCACCAGCATTTTTCTTTGTAAGTACTTAAATATGATCATAATCCTTGGGGCGAATTCAAGAATTGTCAATGGGGGTTCGTATTGAACATAAATTTAATTACACAATTTTATAAGCAAATTTTTTTTGAATGGGTTAAAAAGGAGGCTAATACTACTATTAAATTTTTAAAAAAAAAAAATTAGGCTGAGCATATTATACTAAAAAAAATTTTTTTTTTTTTGGGGAGCTCAAGCCCCCCTCTGTGCCGCCATTGATAATCCTTCATTAAATGTTATATTCCTCTTACCTCCCCAATTTATTATCAGCATATGACTTGACAGAAAGAATTCATATGAAGTTATGAACCATGCATATATATTTGTTTGATCTCTTATATATGTCCCATGCATAAACCCCCAGTTTACTCTATTCGGACATTTTCTTGATTTCTGATCACTATACTCCCATATATATCAAGATCAGAAATAGCATTGGGGTCACAAAATATAAACTTGTGACTTAATTATACTCCTCTCTCTCTCTCTCTCTCTCTCTCTCTATATATATATATATATGAGGAAAACAGGTCTAAGAAAGACAGAAGACAATGGTCAAATCTTCTACCTTTTGATGGATTAAAAAACAATCTCACTTTAAACTTGAGGCTTGTGATGAATGTGATAGACTGGTAAGCTAATAATTAAAAATAAAAAATAAAAATTCAACCTTTGACTTTCTCAACGAGTGTTATGTTGCCATGCATTTAAACAATAATTTGGATAAACAAAAATAAAATTATTTTATTAATTTGTAATCAGCTAATTTTACACCAATTGAAATGCGGGTTTCTTGTATTTTGTTGATTTTGTAGGCCCAGCAGGCGGCTGAGATGGATTGGGACCACTTGGAAGATAATGGCCTAAAGATTGGTCGAATAACCGAGATGGAGGTGGCTGAACTGGATTGGGCCCACTTAGGGGTTAATGATCGAATAACCCAAATGGAGGTGGCTGAGATGGATTGGGACCATTTGAAGGATAATGGCCTAGAGATTGGTCGAATAACCGAGACGGAGGTGGCTGAACTGGATTGGGCCCATTTGGGGGATAATGATCAAATAACCCAGATGGAGGTGGCTGAACTGGATTGGGCCCACTTAGGGGATAATGACCTAGAGATTGGTCGAATAACCGAGATGGAGGTGGCTGAGCTGGATTGGGCCCAGCTGGATTGGGCCCATATGGGACATTATGGTCTGGAGTGGTCTGTGTAAATATACCTGATGGGGCAGATAAAGGCATAAATACTCAGAATTTTTCAAATTTTGTAAGTCTAACTGGTGGTGGCTCGACTGGAATAGGTCCATGTAGGACATTATGGTATAGAGTGGCTTGTGTTTGGACAAATGAACTAGTAGTTGTGCCTGAAACCAGAACGAGCACAAGGGTTGCTAACAACAACTTCTGGTGAGATTCCATGTTGGTTTGTATCAGGTTTGGTTTTGGTATTTTGCTATACTCCATCGACCTTTAAATACTTGATGCTCGTGACTTTAGTAAGGCAAAATACTACACACTATTCATTACGTGAATATATAAGGTATATGTTATCATTTGTTACGTGAGATCAATAATCTTCTATATAAATAAAGACAATGATATTTACTTCTATAATTTCTATAATCTTTGGCGTTGATTATTAATGAAAGTTATAAGGAATGTCATTAATTTAATCATATATAAGAGTAACTTCAATGCTCTCTCATTTGGGCCTCTCAAATTCAAAATATGAGAGTTGGGTAAAAAAAAGGCCTCTCCAATGGGCTCTTATTTAAGTTCTCAAAATTTGAAATTCTCAAATTTTTTCTCATATATGGCAGCTGCCAATTTTTTTTGGCAAGTCTCTCATTTTCCAAAACGGTGCCGTTTCTCATCCGTCATCACCCACTCGCATCTCTATATGTATATTATATATATAATATACATATATATTATATATAATATATATAAATTTCCGGAAAAAAAAAATTATATAAAAAAATTAATTCACAAATAGTGGTAAAAAAATTATAAAAAATTTGTTTTTTTTTTTGTTCTTTTTTGACCAGATATTTTAGATTTGTACTTTTTTTAATTAGGTTTAATTTTAGTTTCCTTCTAATGTCTACAACTTGACTTGGAATGTACCTAATATTAATATTACTGATGCAAATATGAATTGTGAGAATGGTAGTTGAAAAAGAATAGTGGTTGTATTAAAAAATAGCATTTTGCGTAAAATATACCATTGGAGCAAAATTGCTAAAATGTAGGATTTTGGCACTGTAACACCTGTCAAAATATAAATTTGGCATGCAAAAATAGGTTTTAGCATTAGAAATGCTCTAAGATACTCAATTCAAATTGTCAAATTTACTAAATCTAAGGACATACAAGGGATTTCATTTATTCCATCATGCACTATTTGTTTACAGTCCCCTGTTGCCAAGTTTTTACCTTCTTGTTTTTTAAGCATCATAATTTTTTTATACCCTCAATTTTGTAAAATATTACGACTTACAATTAGAGCTGCAAGTTGGGCTGGCCCAACCCAGTCCAATCTCAACTCAACCTCA